AGGTAAAACATAAGCCACCACCTGACACAGCAGAGCCTGAGAGGAAGAATCAAGCAAACTCCACATCCCCATGAGGAGACTGAGAGAAGCTCCAGGAAACTTTACAGCTGAAGCATCAGGTCCACAGGAATCCTAACCACAGGGCCTGTGCTGTGACTCTTAGAGGAATCCCAGCCTCTGCTTCCTTGAGGCTGGCTGCTTGTTGTGCCTTCTGTCACCCTTTCCAGATTTCGGCCTTGTACTGTGAGTTCCATGAGGGCGGCTCTGTTGAATTAGTGCTTCTCCGCGTCAGAGGGCTGGGGCTGTGATGCTTATTACCTGGGGAGGCACAGAGCACACTAATTCTGTCATCCTTGGTAAGTGCTTTGAGAACCTTAGACAGTCTCTGCATAGACAATGCAAGTTGCCACTTGGCTTGATGACCTGTAATTAATCTTATCTCCATGTTCAACCTATACTTCATGATGGAGTTTGGTTTGGTTTGGTTGTAAAAAATGGGTGTGGAGTATCCTGCAAAATGAATTCATTTTGCTCTTGATACACAAAGTGAAAGTATATAATTCCTACAGTGCTTTTGCTTGGAGTGTGCTGATGGGTACCGAGCAGGCAAACCAAGTCATGGGCATTGCCAGAGGGCTGAGAGGTTTTATGATGAATCGCTATAATTACTTGCTTGTTTAGATACTGGTTTTTCTGGCTACAGAGACAGAGTTTGTGGAAAGAGGAATGCAGATTTGGTCCAAAGTTTAAATAAAAGAAATTTTCTCTGTCTCCCACTCTCCGTCTCTCCTCTCCCTTTAATTAAGAGTGGGGTTGGGGTGGGGGGGGTAAATTAGCCCAGAGGCCACAGGAGTACAAACAGGAAGTCAGTCATGACCTTCAACAACTGTACCCCCTGCTGCCCCTCAGGCGTGGAGAGCTGCCTTTGGGGAGTCAGGTCAACATCTCCCAGCTGACCTGAGTCTCATGGCACCATGCACAACCCGTCACCTCCTGGATCTGAACAACTGCACACATTTAGGGTGCAAAGAGAGGCTTTGGTGCTTTTTCTAATCAAGGAGCAATTCCAAGACTGCCTGAAGGAGTTCGCCGCTGTCACCCTGGCCTTGTTTGCCATCTTCCTAACCAATAGGACAAAAGTATCTTTTTTGTTTGTTTGTTTGTCTTTTTCTTTTTTATCGGTACCAAGGATCAAACTAACAACTGCCTGCTTGCAAGGCAGGCGTTTATGCCGCTGAGCTAAATCCCCAGCCCAAAAGTATCTTAAAAAGATACTTTTCAGGGAGCTTCTCAGAAACCACCCTTCTTAACCACTCAGGCAGCTGCAACCCTGGGCCAGCTTGCGCTCAACTATTATTTTCTGTGGTCTCAGTAGAAAAAAACTGAACAGGAGTCTGCAGAGACAGGAAGATGCGAAAGGCATGTGCTCCACTGGCAGAAAGGGGCGTAGGTACAGGCTGCTCCTGACCCCCAGGTTTGTAACCATTTTTTCTGGCAGAGGCAGGGGAGTGACTTGAAGAAAAGGAGCCATGTGTGCCTGGCTGGTGGATCTGAGTTGTGGCTTTCTGTGTCCTTCAGTTTTCATGATCAAGAGTAGGGCACAGTCGGAGAACCCCAGAAAGCAGAGCTGGATGGGGCGAGACTAATGCCGGCAGGCAACCTGGAGTCCTGGATTGCCTAAAGAATGTTCTCCAGGAGTTAATTTTTTTCCCTTTTCTATCAAGTTTAAAAGTACTGGGGGATATTTCAGGAAATCAGACCTTTGTAATGGCTTTGAACAAAAATAGAGATTAGGGCATTGTTATTCCACACGCTGTTCATCATAGTTGCCAAGAAATCAAAATCCGATTCCTTGGGGATGGAACCCCCGAAGTCCCTGGGAAACACATGTTGCTCCCCACCCACCAAATCCAACAACGTTTTCCGTCCTCCCCGCTGGATGCTCAAGGGGAGAAAATAAATGAAATGTAGACCAGTCCTTTGACTCCAGAACAGGAGGGTCATCAGTCACTGCTGTGGCTGAGGGTTTGCTCCCCGCCCACAGTGCTGCTGTGAGACAGACATTCCTTGCTCAAAAGTGAGCAGAAAATGGCCAGGTGTGGTGGCACACTCCTGTAATCCCAGCAGTCCAGAGGCTGAGGCAGGAAGATCATTGTGAGTTCAAGGCCAGCCTGAATTGCATAGCAAGACCCCGTCTCAAAGAGGAGAAAGTGAAGGTATTTGAAGATAAATTCTTAGAGAAAATTTCAGGGGTGGAAGAAGGAAGAAGAAGGGAGGGCAGGCTGGGTGCCATCTGGCCCCATGCAATGAAGCTCTTTGTCCCTGCCCTTTAATCTTGAGATTCTTCATGGGTTAGTATGGAAAAGTCATTGATCTAAGCCAGAGAGAGCACAAAGGCCTCAAACTATACAATTTGAGACCACCACCAAGTTCAGCTTAATTGTGTATTTAAATAAGTTCATACCTCAATCTTTCTCAAAAAATTCCTTGACCTGAAAAGTTGTTAATTACAGTGGATGAGGGAATGTATGTTTACTTTAAAAGTCTACAAAGTTGGAGTTGTAGCCCAGTAGTAGAGCCCTTGCCTAGCACCATCGGTGTCTGGGTTCAGTCAACAGCAGCACACATACACAAATGTGCACATAGACACACACACAAAAGGTGTGTGAGAGAGAGACAGAGAGAGAGAGAGAGACAGAGAGATTGAGACAGAGGAACAGAGATGGGGAAAGATCTATTAAGTATAGTTGTGGTTCCAAGCAAGAGTGGAGAGTCTGAAGACAGGCAGAAGAATGAGGTTTTATCTAGAATACTGTGTCAGAAAGTCCTGTTCCGTGACACTTGCATCTCTGAGCAGGGGGTGGTGTGCCGGTTAATCTTGATTGTCAAATTGGCTTGGCAGATACTTAGGAGGGTGGCAGACACTTGGGATGTGGCTGGGTGGCCCCAGAGGGATACAGGCCTGGGGACTCCCTCTGGTCTCCACCCTTCTCACGGTCTTCCCTCCTACCTCTGCTTCCTGGGGGCCACAAGTTGAGCAGTGTTTCTCTGCCATGCCCTTTACCATGAGGTTTCTGCCTTGCAGCCACTAAAATTGGGAAAAAATCATGAGCCAAAAACAGCTCATTTCCTCCTTTCTATTGTGTGTGTCAGGCTTTTTGTCACAGCAAAGAAAAGGTGATCAATACAGATAGCAAAGAGCCAGATACGATAGAGCCCAGGGCATCTGCCCCCTTACACACCCACCCACACACACACACACACACACACACACACACACACACACACACCCTAGTTTTATAGAGCAAATCAGCTATAGATAAATCAATCTCTTGTTGCTATATTTTTGGCAACAATGAATCCCTTTTAAAATTTTATTATCTTCTTTATAGAAAAAAAAAGAGGAACCCAATGAACCCAAAACCTAGTAACTCTCATTCCCTGATATTCACGTTTCTGTCTCTTTCTATATATATTCATCAAAGTGAAGCTACTACTGCTTTGTATTCTACTTTTTCACACACCACATTTTAGTTTTTATATTTCCATGTGTAGACACTTATCTCAGAGTTACTGAAAGCTGCAGCTAGGTAGAAGACATGCCGTACATGTGCCATTTTTAGTACCTAGCCCTCCTGCTGTTGGCCTGGAGGGTTGGCTTCGGAGCTTTGCAATCAGGAATAGTGGGAACGGCGTGTTTTTGGAAAGGCGTTAGGTTATCTTAACTAAGCAGAGACATATTTCAACTCTCTGTTTCAAGAGTTTGAGAACTCAGGCTCAGAAGAAACAAAGTGAGCTGGACGATCGGCTGCTTGCAGTTTTATGACAAGTCAAAGGTTTAAAGTCCAAAAGGCTCAGATTTCTATCCCGTGTTTGCCATCTCAGACCTGAGTCCAGAGGACAGCACGCTGCCTTCCCTGCTCTCCTGGCCCTGGCAGCGAAATGAAAGCACAGGGAAGTTGGCCCACACCTCCCTACAGGGCCACATGGAGCCCGGGACACCAAGCACACCGACAGTGACCCTCATGCTCTTCTGTCTGGCTCTCCCCGATGAGACTGTCAAGTGGCCTGGCCACCGGAGCTGCTGGTGAGTGGCAAGAAGAATGAATGGGGAGCAGCAGCGCCACTCATGGCCCCGTGGGACCCGCAGAGGCTCACCGGAAAGGCAGAAGGCCACATCCAGGCAGATTATACATATCCTGCAGCAGCCGGAACGTCCAGAGCTTCCCAGACCTGGACTTATGCAGAGTGAAGAAGACCCCAGCCAACAGGTTGGGGTGCCTCACAAGGGGTGCCCTCTTTACCTCTGCCCTTTGCCGATTTCCTTTTTGGATCATATGTATGGTTTATATAAGATCTAACATCGAGCATTCGATGTAAATGATGGAGAGAAATGTCTCTCTCTACCTGCAGGCAGAAACTGCTGATTTGTTTGTTGTTTTCCCAGCGCAGACCCAGAGGACAATGCTCTGTGACACTTTGGGGTGAGCCTCTGCTGACATTCTTTCGAGTTCTTACTGTACGACCGGGTGAGATTCTGGTCCCTTGAAGCGAGCACTCATGTTCAGAGAGTGTACGATCTTGGCTCCTTGATGTCTTATTTTGTGTACTTCTGTGTGTGTGCTGATTTCCTTTTCAAATTACTTGGTTTGATCCCCTTCCTGGGTTGGAAGACATAGTTGGTTTTGACTCTGGTAGAACAAATAAATATTATGGCTTTTTTCCCCCCAGGATTGAGGATTGAACTCATGGTCTTCCCACTGAGAAGATTCTCATCCCTTTTTTAAATTTTAAGACAGAGTCAATAACTGCCCAAGAGCTTGAGATCCTTGGGCCCCGGCCCCTTAGAGTGCTAGGATTCTAAGAGTGCCCCACCATACCAGCTTCCTTGTTCACATTTAATAGGTGCATCATATGAATTAAGATGTCTGACGAGTTGATGCTGAAGACAAGCAAAACGCCTAATTTTGCTCTTCTTTCTCTGTGTGTCTTTCCCACAGAGCCCTCAATCCCATTGCTGTAAATCTCTGGGGAGATCCACAAGCCGAACACCAACAATTGAGTTCAGGTCCTTGGCAGATGGCCATCAGTGTCTTTCACTAACCAGCGAGATGGAGACCACAGCCTTGAATTCTCAGAAGGCGCCGTCGGTGTGTAAGGACAGAGAGGATTGTCAGGAAAACAGCATTTTACAGAAGAGTGGTCCTACATCGGCGGGTGGAGTGGAGTCTGGCCAGATATTCAATGGGTACTCATCGGTTCCCAGCACTGGCATGGGGGATGACGCTGAGCACTCTGTCCCGACTGCCACCACCACCCTGGTGGCTGAGGTGCACCATGGGGAGCGGGAGACCTGGGGCAAGAAGGTAGACTTCCTCCTCTCGGTCATCGGCTACGCTGTGGACCTGGGCAACATCTGGCGCTTTCCCTATGTGTGTTACCAGAACGGTGGAGGTCAGTATCCCGGGCCCAGGCAGGGGCTCTGGTCCAGGACGGGCTACAGGTCTCGGGGGAGGCCAGAGACAAATCACATCTTTGTTGTTTTGTGTAACTGATTCAAATCTAGGAACATGACTTAGTCTTTAGTTTAAAAGACAGATCTCCAGTAAGTAAAAGCTTAGTTTCTGGGGTATAAAGTAGGATGGGATCAGCCCAAAGCAGACCTCGCCTATTTCAGCACCATTTATATTGAAGTGTCTCCTCGTCCTGCATGATCCATGCTCTCTCCTCACTGAGCCAGGAGTGAGGGAAGAGTCTGGAAGAGTCTGATCTATACAGGAAAAACTGAAAGATGTTTCCAGACTCTGCTTGGCCTCTGGACCCTCATGGCATCAGCTTTGGTCTGGACTTTTAGGTTACCTGTTTGAGCATAATCCAAAACTGAACTCAGCCACAACAGGACACGAATGCCAACCCCAAACCATGCAGGGTACCCTTGAGTCTCTTTAAGAGACCCAAGCTGGGCCAGGTGTCACCACCTGGCTGGCCTGTGCTTGTAATCTCAGCACTCTGGGAGGCTGGGAAATTTGATCCCAGTCTGGGCAATTAAGCAACTTAGTGAAGCCCTGTCTCAAAATACAAAATAACAAAAGGGCTGGGGATGTAGATCATTGTGAAGGCCCTGGGTCCATCCTCAGTGCTGGGCAAAAAAAGTATTAGCTGAGGTACAGGCCCGTAAACTCAGTTATTCAGGCAGCTGATGAGGAAGAACAGAGAGTTGGAGGCCAGAAGCCATATATTGTGCCTCCTTAAAACTTTCAACATTTACTTTTAGGTGATCAAAAACAATATTAAACTGACTGTAGGTTACAAATGTGGGAGCCTGGAAGAGACAGGAGAGGAGTAGGTATGGGCCCTCTGTGATGACACTGGGCTTGATAGAAAACCGTCAAGAGGAAACAGGAATCGATCAGTTAATATTTATTTTGATAGGAAACAGATGTGGGAGGGCCGCTGAAATGAAGTTTGGGGGCTAATTCATGGTACACTCACTTCTTCCATGGCTGATACAGCATTGGCTTGATTTGCTGTGTCTCTTCAGGACTTTTGTCCACATGACTGCAAACACAGTTCCCTGAGACCGTGGGAAGTCTGGAGCTTCCTGCCCATGAGGAGCAGAAGTTATAATCACAGTCAGTTTATTGGCACTTTGGGAGGCCTCACCTTTAGCCTCATCATCATATAAATGCTGTATCACTGGTGTGCTTCCTACTGCATATCTGATCAAGAAAACCCCTTGGACAAAGGGCACAAAACACAAGGTGGTTTTTATTTTCAAACAGGTTTATTGAGCATGGTTGTAAGTTACTTGGACCCTGCTGAGCAGCACTGACTTCAGGTTTCTAAGACCAGAGCATTTTAGAGCAGGGAAAGTCATTAAGGAAAACTGTAGCTGATCTTTGGGCTAAGTCAAAAGTTTGCAAGGCAGCAAATCTTAACTTGACATTTCTCAGTTTAGCATCAGCCACCAGATCCAGGAGACGCTAACATCTTCCTTCAGTCATGCTGCTGCTTTGTGCTTTCTTCTTCCATAAAACAACAAACCAAACCAACCCTACACTCTTCAGCTATGCATGCAAAGGTGGCTTGTGAGGATTATTCTGCTTCAGTGGAATTATAGACATACAGCCAAATATCAGTAACCAAGTGTCTGGAGCCACAGGTAATACCGAGGAACAAAGATTCCAGTTCAGTGTTTCATTGATGGTTATGGCTGTGCAGACCACCACAGGCTTTTTAGGGTTTCCAGGGGACCTCGTACTGGTTATTTCTGCATTGACCCAGAGTCTAGCGAGGGGTATGCCTTTGAGCTCAGCAGTGATTGTGAATGTCTCTGGGTGTGGAAACCTCATTCCAGTGACCTTATGGGGGAAGAAATTAGGATACAGAGAGAGGCAGTGGCCCATATTCTCAAGACGGCCCAAAGCAGAGACGGTCCCAGTGCTTGATCTGTTGACTTGCAGCTCAGCTTTCTTTCCACTTCCTCTGTCAGCCTCCTCTTGGAACTCATTTTAGCCATGGAGCCCTGTCTGCTATTACTTCTGGCAAAGCACAATGTGGTTCTGTGATTCCTGGAGTGAACCCTCTTATCTAGGTCACTTGGGCTGTCCTGGGACAGATGTGGACAGGAAGTGAAGTTGTCTTTAATCTGTCTCAGGAGCATTCCTCCTCCCCTACATCATCATGGCCATCTTTGGAGGGATCCCACTGTTTTACATGGAGCTTGCGTTGGGCCAGTATCACCGGAATGGATGCATTTCTATATGGAGGAAAATCTGCCCGATTTTTAAAGGTAATGAAGGGTTTAGGTGGATAGGCCAGTGAGGGTGGAGCTGGGCACTTGCTTCTGGAATTACTTAGACCTTGTTATCTCTAGGAGATAACTTGAGTCATTATCTTTTTGAATGCTCAAGTAGAATGCAGTTGTTAAGTAGAAATAATAAATAATAATTGCAAGTAAATCAAATTTTTAAAAAATTAGTAAATTTCTTTAAAAAACGATAGCCAATGCTTGCAAATACAGATGAGTAGTCGGTTGCTTCGCTACTTTCTCCCATCTCTTGGAGTCTTTTGGAAATAAAACGGTGGCGTCCCTACCCCTTTCCTGGCGGTGAGAGGACCTGCTGTCTCAGGCTCCCGTGGCCGGCTGCCTTTGGTTTGAGCGTGGCTTCTCTCACCCCCTGCCCAGGGATTGGCTACACCATCTGCATCATTGCCTTCTACATTGCCTCCTACTACAACACCATCATAGCCTGGGCCCTCTACTACCTCATCTCTTCCTTTACGGACCGGCTGCCCTGGACCAGTTGCAGGAACTCCTGGAACACGGCCAACTGCACCAACTACTTCTCTGAGGACAACATCACCTGGACGCTCCACTCCACCTCCCCTGCGGAAGAGTTTTATATGTAAGTGTGAGTAGGTGGGCAGGTGGTCTAATCAGGGTAGGTCACATGCCTGAGGTTTGATTTCTTAGGAGACAGGTGGGAGCCAAGGGCTCTTCACTGCTCTCCTGGCAGATTTCTACAGGGGAGGCTGTCAGGGGTGGGAGAATGAATGTGAATGAGAAGAGTGGCAGGACCTCCCTCCAGCAGGATTTAAAATTGGGAAATTCTACCATGAGTGTTAATCTGGCCCTCCTATGTCACCTCCCATTCTGCCTCCTTCTTTCCCACATGCCCAGTCAGGTTGCTCCAATATGTCCAGAATTACTCTTCTGCATGAAAAGTGCCTTTGTTAGGGCTGGGCATTTACTCAGTGGTGCAGTGCCTGTCTGGCAAGCATGAGGTCCTGGATTCAAAAAAAACAAAAATATCATGCAATCCAAAAGCTAGTCCATGTTGGTCAATGTGATTCAGATTGCAGTCAGCAAAGGGGAAGCCAGAATTGTCCGGTCTGGGTCAGGCACTTTTCCCAGGGCCAGTCAGCTGACTGTGCTGCTGGCTCCTGGGTCAGTAGAGCCTACCTCAGCCCTTCCTGGGTGTATTAGTCAGCTTTTCATCACTGTAACCAGATACATGAGAAAAATGACTTACATGAGGAAAGATTTATTTCGGCTTATAGTTTCAGAGGTTTCAGTCCATGGTCGGCTGACTCCATTCTTTCCGGGCCTGAGGAGATAGTACATTATGGTGGAAGGCTTTGGTGGAGGAATGTTGCTCACCTCATGGCATCCAAGAAGCAAAGAGAGAGCAAGAAGGCGGAGAAGAAGGGACTGCAGAGCATATTAAGTTCCCAAAACCACACCCTCATGGTCCACTCCCTTCAACTAGGCCCTACTTCCAGTTTCTGTCTCCTCCCCTAAGTTACAATCTTATTGGTGGATTTATGCCTCAATCACTTCTTTAGATCCCCTTTCACTGAACATTGCTGTGCTGGGGATAAAACCTTCAATGTGTGGATCTTGAGGGGACTTGATATTCAAACTACAACACTGAGGCTCAGTGACCATGTGGACCTTGCACCATTGCATCCATTTGTGTCTGCCACCTTCCTGAAGACATCGCAGGCTAAGTAATCACCAGATCCTCTCATGGGTCTTTCTTTCTTTTCCACTTCAGACGCCACATCCTTCAGATCCATCGGTCTAAGGGACTGCAGGACGTGGGAGGCGTCAGTTGGCAGCTTACTCTCTGCATCATGCTTATCTTTACCATCATATACTTCAGCATCTGGAAAGGTGTTAAAACATCTGGCAAGGTGAGGAGGACCACACCCGCTGGCTGCTGATCTGTGGGGCCCCACCCTGTTTCAAACTCTGGACCCAGTGGCCTGGACGGTAATGGTCAGGAAACAGGATTTCTCCTTCAGCACCACATACATTCCATGATGTTCTTTCTCTTATCACATGTGTTAGAAAATTCTAGAAATGGGTCAGTACCAAGAACCCTTATATAATTCTGTTTTCAAAATTCCTTTAACCTACTGGTAGAATTGCAGCTAATAATAGCGGTAATATTTTTTTTCAGTGGTGGGGGTGGAACCTTGGGTCTTGCACATGCTAGGGAAGTGCTCTACCACTGAGCTACCCCCCTAGCCTGATAATGGCAGTCGTTCACTAAAAACCCACCATGGGCTACGCTCGATGCTGTGTCTGTACTGGTGGAATATATGGTTTCCTGCTAGACATTTCTTATCTCTACAGATGTGGCGTGGACATTGGGGTAGGGAGAAGTGACCATGCTGAGTCAGATGCTTCTCTGATTCTGAAGGTGGAAATCATTTTGCCACACCAACCCGTCTCCCAAAATGACAGAACCAAGAGGTGCATCTCCTCTCTCAGAGGCCATCAGGAAAACAACACGGACACCACTCGTCTTCCTGCTTTTTTGTCTCTGGAACAGCCTGGCAATAACATGGATTTCTGTTCTCCTTCTTTACAGGTGGTGTGGGTGACAGCTACCTTTCCTTATATCGTCCTTTCTGTGCTGCTGGTGAGGGGGGCCACACTCCCAGGAGCGTGGAAGGGTGTTCTCTTCTACTTGAAACCCAACTGGCAGAAGCTCCTGGAGACAGGGGTAAGATACTCGGGGAGAGAGCGTGTGACTGTCATTTATCAGATGACACTAACCCTCCTTCAAGTAGGACAGGAGAGACAAACAAAACTTGGTTTCAACATGCAAGTCTATAGTGACACTGTGAGCCAGAAATATGAACATCAAAATTGAGAACTATAAATAAGGACTTTGGATGGGTTTAAACCTATGTGATGGGCTTACACTGAGTATGTGACTATCCCCAGAATGAGCTTCAAAAGCTCTTTGTTTGTTTGTTTGTTTAGTTGGTTGGTTGGTTTTTTGAGGTTTTTTTTGCCCAGCATACAGCCATATGGTGGCACGAGAGGCCTCCCCTGCTGTGACTCAGTGGCAGCCTGAGTGTCAGCCTCAGCTGTGTCCTCCTGCTGTTTCTAGGTGTGGATTGATGCTGCTGCTCAGATATTCTTCTCTCTTGGTCCAGGCTTTGGGGTCCTCCTGGCCTTTGCCAGCTATAACAAGTTCAACAACAACTGTTACCAGTGAGTATCAGGGCCCCCAAGCCACACTTGGCAAAGGTCAGCCAGTTTGGAGGAGGAGCCTGAGCTGGTGGCCTCGGGCCTGGTGGGGATGGGGCCTGGGATAGGCCGTGACAGTGCTGCTTCTCAGCAGGACCACAGCGGCCTGGCGCTTCAGCTGTGGGAGAGACACCACACCACTTCTGTTTTGTGAGTCTCTCTCTATAAAGATAACAGTTAAAAGATTCTACAGCAGATTTTCAAAAACTGTAACATATAACTAAATATTCGGGCTTAACTAGTTAATATGTTTAACAATTAAAAGTATAATGTGATCAGTTATTTGTGCGTACAAGAGATATAATTATTTTGACCAACACAGATGCCATTTTTGGATGGAAATCTCACTTCAGATATTTTAACAAAACAAGGAGTGTGTACCAATTATCACTGTCACTCCACATATCACCTCTAGACTTAATTATCCTGCCACAGAGGCCAGTGTTTTCTTGTGCCATTCATAAAATAATTACAAGGATTTAGTTATTTTTTTAAATGAGTTCACAAGGCATGGTGGCACATGGCTGTAATCCCAGCATGCGGGAGGCTGAGGCAGGAGGATGGCTACAAGTTTGCAGCCACTGGGCTACAAAATGAGTTGAAGGCCAGCCTTAACTGCATAGTGAGACCCTATCTCCAAAGGACAAAAAAATGAAAATGAGAATTACACGTGCCCCAAGCAATATGACCTTGCACTGGGATACCAACCTGAAGTTGTCTGATGAGGTCTTCTTTTAACCCAAGCATGGTGGCACACATCTGTAATACTAGTACTCTGAGAAGCTGAGGCAGGAAGATCACAAATTGCCTAGCCTAGCCTGGGCCTTTTAGCTATTTAGTGAGATCCTAGGGTTGATTTTATATTTTTAATTTTTATTTTTTTAATTTATTTTTTGGTCTCTTTGAGACAGGGTCATCTTGCTATGCAGTTCAGGCTGGCCTTGAGTTCACTTAGTAATTCAGCCTGGTCTCGAACTTGCCATGATGCACCTGCCTCAGCCATTACAGGTGTGCACCACTATGCCCAGCAAGTGAGGGCTTCTTTGTGGCCCATCTGTGACTAAACTATAATCTGTGTCAAGCGTCAAACATCTAATGTGAGGATTTCGCTCACCCGAGGCCAAGGCTCCATCCTGTCCCCACTCCGTAGCTGGGGCCTCACATAGAATAACTCTCTGCTGAGCAGAGAGGGCTGTGCTGTGACACTTCACAAAGAGGCACCTCTGAAGACAGCCCCTGCCTGCTACGCTCCCCATGCTGTGTATCATAGTATTTGCACTTCACACCCAAAGAGCCTGGGCTCTGGGAGAAGGGGACAGGACACCAGGACGCCCTGGGGATCCCTTGAACCACACTGGCCTGCGTTGGCAGAGCAGGCACACCGACTGCTGCTTTTTAGACTCCCCACGTGACAGCTTTCTCAGGCCCCTTGGGTTTTCTACTCCAGAGATGCCCTGGTGACCAGTGCGGTGAATTGCATGACGAGCTTCGTTTCGGGGTTTGTGATCTTCACGGTACTGGGGTACATGGCTGAGATGAGGAGCGAAGATGTATCCGAAGTAGCCAAAGATGCAGGTAGGGCCTGGGGCTCTGTGTAGATTCCCGATCCTATTGCAGTGCTTTGATGGAATATTTACAGATACCTGACTTTTGAGTTTCTTGTTTTGTTTTTGTTTTGTCTTTTTTGAGACAGGGTCTCACTATGTAGTCCAGGCTGGCCTCGAACTCAGTATGTAGCCCAGGCTGGCCTCGAACTTGTGGCAGTTCTCCTGCTTTAGCCTCCCAAGTGCTGGAATTATTTAGCTCCCAAGTGCCTGTGCCACCATGCCCAGCTGGAGTTCTTTTTAAATAATCCTTCAAAATGCCAAAGATTTGAGAGAAATGTATTGCTTTGGAGAGCTAAATCCTCTCCATGTATTTAGGTCACTGGGGCTATATCAGCTCCCTCGATTCCCAGGACTGGTGCCTGCAACACATGATGAACTGGAAAGTATGACTTGGATGTTGGCTTTAAAATCAGTGGATTAATTCCTGGCACCAAAAATAAATAAATATTTAAATAAAACCAGTGGATTTTGAGTCAGGGGTGGTGGCATAAACCTGTAATTCCAATGATTCAGGAGGCTGAGGCAGGAGAATGACAGTTCAAAGCCAGTCTGGCAATTTAGCAAGATCCTGTCTCAAAAATAAAACAACAACAAACAAACAAAAGACTGGGGATGCGGTTTCGGAGTAGAACTTATCTGTCATGTGTGACACCTTGAGATCAACCTCTATCACTGCAAAACCAAACAAAAAGCAGTGGGTTTGGATTCTGTGATGGTATTGTAGTTGTGTCCGGTCCAGCAGGGAAACAACTGCTCATCCTTAGAAATGCCCCTCCACAGAAAAATAAAAAGGTAGTTGATGTGACCAATCTACTCTGAAGTTGTCTTGAGAAAAGTGTGACTGACGTTGAAAAGTGACAGCAGGATCCAGCGAATGGAGTCCCAGTGTTTGTGAACGCACTTGTGGATTTGGCCTGATGTAGTACTTTGACCCTGAAAGGAGACCCTCAGCTCCTTCAGGAGAGGCTGAAGAAACACTGTCCCTCACACTGTCCAAAAGGGACTTTAAAATAGCAGGACGTCTTTATTCTATTTTTACTGTTCTGGAGCTGCAGACATCAGAGGGGCCCTAGTGCTGTGGACTTTAGAAATACAGATCTTGGCCCTGAAAATAAAAACACCAAATTGTTATACGGTGCAAACTCCTATCCTAGGCATTGCTTTTGCTAGCCTTAGGGGCTTGGGACTGTTTCTGTCCTTCCTGCCCACCCCCACCCCCCTCACGTGGCCAGGAAGCAACACTGGGTCACTCAGCGGGTCTTCTGATGAGAACTGTAATTGCCCACGTGGGCGAGTTGTACTCTGAGACATCCTTACGGAACGGATCTCAGCAGCTGCCTTCTCCTCTCTCCTGTCTGCTTAGGCCCCAGCCTCCTCTTCATCACCTATGCAGAGGCCATAGCCAACATGCCGGCATCCACGTTTTTTGCCATCATCTTCTTCCTCATGTTAATCACACTGGGTCTGGACAGCACGGTAAGTGAGCAGGGAGGAAAAATGGGCTCTGGGAGGGTGGAGGGGACAGGGGAAGGGAGGAGGAAGGCCATTTCCTCCCATGCTGGCTATCTCAAGCAGTGACAGCTGGTCCCCCTCCCCGCCATGTTCCCCAGGTCCTTGTTCATTCTTGGCCATGGCACACCTCACATGAGACGGGCATTGATGGGTAACGGGAAATTGCCTGGCACAGGTGAAGGGCTCAGCACATATGAATTCCTTCTTTGATGCTGACTCTTGGCCAGGCGATGGCACCTAAAAGCCAGGACCAAGTCCCTCTCGTGTCTCTGCCCTATCTAGCATTCCATTTAGCACCTGGCACTTGCTGGGATGGAGAGAGTCTCAGCTTTGAGGTGGCTTTTCTGGTATGACCAGCCGGACTCTCCGAGAGACCTCACCCACTGCAGTTCTCTTCTTTGCCATCTTTTCTTTCCTGGCTGTCCTTGGTGACATATAAAGGACAGTGTGAACTGGAAATACACTTCCCGGAAGTGTTCCTGAGCAGTGATTCAGGGGAACGGCTCACAGTCAGTGGCATCTGTCACATAGGAGTCTTGCCTCTCTCCTGTTCACTGTCACTATGACGTGGCGTGTGCGTCTCAGTTTGCAGGCTTGGAGGGAGTGATCACTGCAGTGCTGGATGAGTTTCCACACATCTGGGCCAAGCACCGGGAGTGGTTTGTGCTTGCTGTGGTCATTACTTGCTTCTTTGGATCCCTGACCACCCTGACTTTTGTAAGTACCATGGCCCTCCGTTCTGAGTTGGCTACCAGGGCCACAAAATCCCTTAGAAGCCATTCCTTTCCTCCTGTCCCCACATAGTATCCTGGTTTGAGGGCCAAAGAGGGCCTCTAGTGCCATTAAATAGATTATTCTCATGGGCCAGGACTGTTGCTTGGTGGTGGAGCACCTGCCTAGCATGTGTGAAGCTCTGGGTTTGATCCCCAGCACCAGGGGAGAGAAGCTGGTCACCCAGGAGAAGAAAAGTTGTTTCATTCACTTGTAGAAGCTGCATATATTATCTGGAGGCCGTTAGCATTTTACAATAGATCCAATTATATTTCAGTGTTGGCAGAATATCTAGGGAAAAAAATGGAATTTGCACTTCCAGTTTATTTCCACTCTTTAAGACAGGAACTATTGTCCCGATGTGAGAAAAGTGGGAGGTGGGTGTCATACGTGTATAATCCCACTTTGTCTCCTCTAGAAGTTACAATGGCAAAGAAATCAGACTCTGGTGTTCTTTTTTCTTGGTAGCTAAAGCAAATACAATAAGGCACACCTCAGATAGTACACCCTAGATACGCTAGGCTTGTGTCCTGTTGGCTCAAGGCACATTTTGCAGATAGGCATCTTTAAGTCTTGGCCCCAGGAGCTCAGGAACTTCGGCAGGGTGAGTTTAGAGGCAGCAGAGCTCCGAGATCACCAGGAGTTTGGTCAGAGAAGTGAGACTGAGCAAGGCTCTCCCTGTGGCAGGTAACCACGGACCCTCCCAGGTTTAGTCTTTCGCAGTGGGCATTCTCCAGGGTTGTTTCTACAAGAAGTGTTCAATAAGTTGGAGAGAACTGAAAATAAATCTAGAGGCCCTTTGGAGTTTGTCTCGTAAGTCTGAGTGGGGAGAGGAAATGAAAAATGAGCTCTGGGGCTGAGGCTGAACAGGAGAGCACTTGCCTGGTATGCACCAGGCCCTGTTTGATTCCCACCACCTGGGGAAAAAAGGCGATGGGCTCTGTAGTGCAGGAAGAGTTTTCTGTTGTGACAAAACCTGGTCCACACTGCGAAGGCCACTCCGCGGAGCAGGCTCTGAAGTACGACACTAGGGCTAAGGTTGAAATTTCCAGCAGTACCCTAAGTTCAAATGCTCCTTCAGGCTCCTGCGGTAGAGGGAGAGGTCCTCAGGAGGCCCCTAACAGAGCTGGTCTTGTTCCAGGGAGGGGCCTACGTGGTGAAGTTGCTGGAGGAGTACGCCACGGGGCCTGCGGTGCTCACCGTGGTGTTCATAGAAGCAATCGCTGTGTCTTGGTTCTATGGTAAGATCTTCCTTCAGCAAGCAGAACCCCTGTTTATAGCATGGCAGCCCGCACAAAGAGGGGCTGATTTCATCAGAGAAAGACGGGACAGGGAAGTTGACAACCTGTGACCTCCTGATAGGTGTGTAAAATACTCTTAGCTGAAGGCCTTCTTCAGAAACAAGTCATTTTCTCTGCACTCTGTACAGAGTTGTCCACATCGTCAGGGGAGGATATTTGTCCTCACATTGACTTTGAATGTTTACCCAGGGGAAGCTGTGGCTTCACGTAGCTCTTCCTTGGTGGTAATTTAAGATCCCGAGGGACTCCAACAATTGGAAAGATGACACAGAATTAGGGCACGATAAATCATTTTATCATTGTTAGAGCGGCCCCAGACTTGTATTTCTCAAGCCACAGTTCCTTACTGTGCTCCTAGACAGAGCTCAGGCACTCATCCTCTGAGAATTCTCTTATTCTCATTAGCTGTCGCCTTTCCTAGGTGGAACTTAATAATCATATACCACTAGGGGTGCAGAGAGTGAACTGAGTTGGGTCCTGGCAGAGTCCCAGGAGTCCCTGGGCACTGGCAATTGAAATGAGAAACATTAATTCAGACATATCTCCCTGAAGTCAAGAGGTGATAACCTCATTTTTAAAATGTACTTTTCCTTCTATCTGATAATAAAACAGTTTTAGCATGGTGGTCACTACACACACCGCAAAAAGAGGGGAAAGTACATTTGAGTTGTATATAGGCCTGGTTTTACTTTCTTTTTTTTTTAAACCTTCAGTATTTCAGAAGTATTTCAAAATTCAAAGTGTGGATCACTGCAGACTTCCCTGCCCTTAGGCACAGTGAGGCACTTTCAAGGTGTCAATCACAGAGTGCCTTTCCCTTCTCAGTTCCCCACCTGCCAGTTGTGGTGAGAAGTTCTCACTTCTAGGCCAGTAACTTTTTGTAGAAGAATCTCTCTCTTGATCTGCAATATGAATGAGCAGTATTAGAGTTAAAATTTACCTTTGAGTCAGCCTTGTGCCTCCCCCTGAGAATCAGGGGTAGAAGAAGAGTCCATGTCCTCTCAGTCAACGTCTTTCCCTTTTGGATGATTTTAGGGGTCACTCAGTTCTGCAGCGATGTGAAGGAGATGCTCGGCTTCAGCCCCGGATGGTTTTGGAGGATCTGCTGGGTGGCGGTCAGCCCTGTGTTCCTCCTGGTAAGCTGTCATTTCCCTTCTTTTTCTTCTTCTTGCCCTGAGGAAAGGCTCCCCGCACTCCACCAGACACTCACAATAAAATCAGTTTCATTGAAGTATAACGTACACACAGAAAAGCATGGCAATCATATGTGTTTATCTCAAAGAAATTGTACAAACAGAACTCTTCTATGTAGTCAAACCATACCAAGAAAGAAAACACATGGAAACACTCAGAACCCCTCTGTGCCCTTCCCTGTCACTGTGCCCACCGTGGATCTCACACAAACAGTCTGGGCTTCCGTCATTTAGTCCATCACTCCCTGCTGACCCACAGTGATAAAAACATTTATGCGCGCTAAGCGCCAGCCAGGCCAGATTTTACACCCATCACTTTTTAAACTGTCACGGTCTTTCTAATGAAGTAGGTGAAGTCCTGGTGCTCCCGTTTCACATTTAAGGAAGTTGAGGCTTATCACATAGCAGTTAAGAGCTGTTCAAGACCAGGAAAGAGTTTCTTGTGCAGTTCAGGAAGCCCTGATAGAGATCCAAGACATTCTGTATTTAAAATTTTCTTGCATCTTCTTAAAGAATCCCCTTACCAAGGTCCTCAAGCCTCGGTCCACATCAAAACAGAAGCCGCTTATTGCCAAAGTATCTGGTTAAGAAAAGTGAGTTCCAAGGATAGGCCACTTGCTGAGACAAGTCCACTATTCACTTCACCCTTGTGACATGGTCCGATTCCTTCTGGTATCCACCTGGAGAGAGGCATTTGACCAAAATGGACAGCGTCCTGCTGACCTTCCCAGGGTGCACTTGAGGTATTCTGGGGTAAATCCCCTCTGTGTGCATCCGTAGGGGTTGTCCTTTCGTTATGCCTCCTGTTTGTAACTTTATTTGGGGTTTTTTTTTAATTCCTCTTAAGAGCCAGTACTGTGTTTAGACCATGCCTTCAGTCCGACTCCTCCGCCTTGCTGAGAGTATTCTGGCTTTTCCGTTTTTGTCCTAGGATCTTTCTGGCACACACCTGTCCCTTCCCCTTCTGTGTCCCTGTGTCCTTTATTTTTTGTACCTGCACATATTAATATTAATGTATTAATATTAATACAGTGCCCCCACGCTCGTTTTGCCTCTGAGACACTGCATGAACTTCTCTGTACCCTAATGGCCTTCCCTGACTTCTATTCCCCTGGATTCCAGAGGTTTCAAAAACCAAAGCCAATATTTTCCCCAGACAACAAATACTCCCCAGGGCACCGGGGCTGTTGTGTCAGTGCTGGACTCCGCTGTCCCCGTACATCTTGGCTTAGTGGATACTTATGACCTTATCATCTTACTGATGCTTTATATAAATACATATTAAGTGTATGTGATATATATATTTATATATCTTGCAGAAATATATATATATATATATATATATATATTTTTTTTTTTTTTTTTTGTGGTCTTTTCCCTTTTTTATCGGTACCGGGGATCGAACTCACGACTGCCTGCTTGCAAGGCAGGCGCTTATGCCGCTGAGCTAAATCCCCAGCCCCAGAAATATATTTTTTAATGCTGGAGTTTCACTTGTTTTCAGTAAGAGGCTTGGTCAGAATCACCTGGCCCCTGTTACCAGAAGCAGGAGCCCTTACATAAGTGGGTTATTAATTTATATTAATACCAGTGCTTCTTGATAATCTACTTAAATGCTTTCTTTTGTTTTTCAAAGGAAGAAGAGACATTGGATTAGGTCCTTGAGGGCAGAAACGTGTTTGTCTATTTACTTTTGCAGTCCCTACCCAGTGAGGAGATGTCCAGGGTCCAGGCATGGGTAAAGCAAGTGGAGACACTGACCACTAGCATAAAATTTAGGACATGCCAAGCCCCATACTTACAGTGCATACTATTTTAATGCAATATTTTTAAAAACTGCAGACGGATACACGATGAACAATATTTTAAATAACACAACACCTGACCCTGTAGCTCACCTCACTTGTTTCCCCAAATCTGGCCTCCTCAGATACTGCCTCTTCAAAATTATACTAAAATATTATTTGCATTGATTACTGAAATCCTGGCTTCCCCTGAATGTTCTGTCTGAGGCAAATGCTTCCCATACCTCATCCTGCTCTGGCTCTGAGGTTTTCTGTTCCTTTCTGGCAGTGCAGGCTCAGTGAGTTAAAGACATACAGACTTGGGTCAGGCACATCATTCTCGATTCCTGTGACGCTTCTTACACCCCTTACACCCCTTAAAGGCAAGTGCTCTAGTGCCCAATTAAGAGGAGGCAAAGCTGTCTTTTCCTTCTGCGTTTACTTAACAGATCCCTGCTCTGGATTCTTAAAGGCTATTTTAGGTAAACAACAACTAACTTACTAAAAATATTTTTTTACTGAAGCCAAGTTACAAAAAAGAAAATATTGTGATTGTGTACAACCAAAGAGAGAGGCCTTGGTAGAGGTTTCTCTCTTCTTTCTTTCTTCCTTCCTTCCTTCTCTCCTTCCTTGTTGTTAGTCCTGGGGATTAAACTCAGATCCTTGCACACGCTGGGTAAGTGCTCTATCACTGTGCTATATCCCTAGCTCTTCATTTTTGAAATATTTTGAGACACAGTCTCGCTAAATTGCCTGGACCGGCCTCAGGTTCCCTGTCCTCCTGCCTCCACCTCCCAAGTAGCTGGGGTTACAGGCATGGGCCACCGCACCTGGCTGTGAGAGTTTCTGAAGTGAAGGGCCTGAACCTTCTCTGACTGAGCTGGGTTTAAAACACTTAACATCAAGATGGTGTGAGCTCTAGCAGCAGTGGCTCCTAACCAGTCCTGCTCTTCCCGTTCCAAAATTTCCTTCCTCAGTAAATGGTCTGGGATGAGCATAGTAAGGGAAGAAAGATTTGCAATTGCCTCCTGTTTTGAAGGCCTCCTTGTGAGCTTAGGATAACACTGCTCAGAAGATGGATGTGTGTTTAACAATTTCCCATTTTATTACCTGTAGACAAAGAAAAAAAAGATATAAATAGATGTTTAACCACACAAATAATTTACATTACTGTCTTCTTTATGACTATGAAATAATACAATAAAATAAAATCAAGAGCTATAATGATTTCGACACAGTGGTTACTAGGCAAAAATTGATATTTATGCTCTCTAGAAACCAAACTGAAATAAGAAACTAATAAACAGTGTTGCGAGTACACGGTAGAAGTATTCTTCGTTGAAATTTTCACAGAATTTTCAAGTGAAAAATACACTAAGCTTCTTTTTTCCTTCCAAGATTCCTTTTACTGTGAGGACCTGGCCCAGCAGTCATTCATTCCTGAGGCCACCCTTGTTGACTCTGCTAAAGAGCTCAATGCAGAAAGCAAAGAGGACAGAGAGCCTCCCCAGGACCTGCGTTCTCGGGCCTTAAGAACCTCCCTCGTGCTTCTTCCATCTGTAGTCAGGAAATGTAGGGAGACATGAGAAGAGGGAGACACGGGAAGCGGGAAGTTCATGTCTCTGCTGTCCGCTCCTGATGGTGCCAACCTCTTCTCCCTGGCAGAGGCTTTCCCTAGTGGGGCACTGTCCCTTCCCTGGCTTTATAGGTAACTGCAGGGAGGCTGTAACATCCTCGTGGGCTGGGAGGAGGACTCGGTAGACCTGAGATGGGTGATAGCAAAGAAAACAAGAAAAACTTGGCTGTTTTATTCTTGCAGTTGAAGTAACAAAATTGACATTCCTGTGTCGGAGTTCAGCCTAGGATATATCCCAGTTAAGTTTTAGCGTTAGCATTTAGTATTTGTGTTATCAGAAGTTATGCGCATACTGTTAAGATTGTTAATGTTTCTTGGGCTTTTGTTGTAGTTCATCATCTGCAGTTTTCTGATGAGCCCACCCCAGCTACGACTTTTCCAATACAGTTATCCCCACTGGAGTGTCATCCTGGGTTACTGCATAGGGACTTCCTCCGTCATCTGCATCCCCACATACATTACCTACCGGCTGGTCACCACCCCAGGGACCCTGAAGGAGGTAGGTGCCGGAGTGTATGTTTATGTGTTTTCTAGGAGAAAGGAATTTTCTTTTATGCTCTATTCAAAAGAGTTAAATCTACATGAAATGCACACAAAGGGTCTGAACCTTATTTATGTATTTACATGATTATATAGCTCTCTAATGGCTTATACTGTTATAAAGTATCTTTTAAAGTTCCAAATATGGGCTGGGGATTTAGCTCAGTGGCATAACTGCCTGCCTGGCAAGTACAAAGTCATGAGTTCGATCCCCAGTACAAAAAAAAAAAGAGTTCCAAATATAAAGACAAAAGAGAGTTGATTCTCCCTCTGTCTCTGTCTCCCTGTTTCTCTATCTTTTTAACATAGAATCTCACAAAATTGCTAAATTGCTCAGGTAAGGCTCAGACTTGTAACCCTCCCACTTCAGCCTCCCAGACTGCTAAGGTTACAGATGTATAACATCACACACAGTGAGCTGATCTTTTGTGTACCATAGCATTTACAAAGCCTGAAGCTGTACATGTAGCCCACAGTTTGGGTTATGCATAGCTTTCTAAATGGATCAGACAACTACTTTGCCTCCTGCTTGCTACTGGGCATGGATATCAGATCTATGAAGACTGATGCCATCCACAGATTTTAAGTGGAAATTATGGTAAAATTTCCCACAGAGGGCTGGGGATTTAGCTCAGCAGCATAAATGCCTGTCTGGCAAGCACGAGGTTGTGAGTTTGATCCCCGGTACTGCAAAAAAAAAAAAAAAAAAAAACCCAAGGTGATTTTTCTAATAATCATGTGACCAGTACTATTTTAAAAGTAATCATAAAATATGGACAGTTCAATGTATCATACTTATAGTTCAAAAATTATTACTAGAAATAAGCTGTAGGGGCTGGGGATTTAGCTCAGCGGCATAAGCGCCTGCCTTGCAAGCAGGCAGTCGTGAGTTCGATCCCTGGTACCGATAAAAACAAAAAAGACAAAAAAAAAAAAAAAAAAGAAATAAGCTGTAGTATGTACCTATAACCATGCCCCAAAATGATTGTAAACTGCATGAATCATGAACATGTGCTAATAAATAAAAATTATTTAAAAATACAATTTTAAAAATTATTAATTATTCAATAATACTTTAGTAGCTCAAGCCATTGTAGTACTTTTTTACTATAACTAAAGATTAATTTTAGCAATGAATAATGTACTGTAAACCTTTTACTTTGCAATTTGTAAGAGTCTATGCTTTCCAAAACATCTGCATGCAGCTGGTCTCACCTGTTATCAGAATATCTTGTGGGGTGAGGGGTAGGTATTATTAGCAGCAGGGTCACTGAGGCTGGGAATAACCTGTCAGATGCCTTTATTTCATTGACTTGTCCAACGATACACAGTTTAGGAACTCTCTGAATCTAGATCTTTCGACTCCTAGTGCAGTGTTCTTTTCACTGTTAGGTGCAACATCCTTCTTGTCCTCGGGGTTGACAGTTTGCTTATATATGAAATGGAACACATGGTACAGGAGAGAATAGTAGCAATTTTTCACCCCAGAATGCCAGAAGGAGAGGTTCAGCCTTAGAGTATCAGCAGCGTTATACTGAACATTAACAGAACAGAAGAGCTTCAGTTGTTACGTTTGGCTGTGTTTCTTGCCACAGATGGTGTTGGGATTAAATTCAGGGTTTGGCACATGCTAGGCAAGTCCTCTACGATGGAGCCACACCTCACCCTGAAAGCACTGGTGGTTGTCTTATGCACGCTTGCTTCTCATGTCTGAGGAATCTTAGTGCGATGGTGTCATGTGTGAGATTTGCTCCTTAGAGCCCACATATTATCCCGCCACAGTTCTCAGGCCAATATAGGTTAGAGCGCCTTCTAACTTCCCCCAGACACCACCCTTCACCCTGGAGTTTGTACTGTGCAAAAACATTCAGCTATGGACTGCAGACTCCAGGCTCCTCTGGCACAGTATCCTCTTCCTGTGGATGGCCTCTGAAATGTCACTTTCAGTGACTTGGTGTGCCCTGGCAGTGGATAAATACTGCAACAACTACTTTAAGTATATTTTTAGTGCTATAGTTCAGTACTGAGATCCAATATCATAAGGAACACAAAACATATGAATTTATGAGTTTATTTTTCTTTTTCTTTTTTTTTTTTTTTTTTTGTCTTTTTCATTTTTATCGGTACCAGGGATCGAACTCATGACTGCCTGCTTGCAAGGCAGGCGCTTATGCCGCTGAGCTAAATCCCCAGCCCCGAATTTATGAATTTCATGAACTATTGAAATGGAATTCTGAATTTCCTGGGCCTTAAAGGACAAACTCTCAGAATCAGAGAACAGAAAAACTTGTAGGCTGCTACCTGCTTTTTCAATCCCAAATTTTATTTTTTTTTTTTATTTTTTTTTTTTTTTTGGTCTTTTTCATTTTTATCGGTACCGGGGATCGAACTCACGACTGCCTGCTTGCAAGGCAGGTACTTATGCCGCTGAGCTAAATCCCCAGCCCCTCAATCCCAAATTTTAAGAAGACAGTAGCGAATCTTCACCTAAAGATCAATAAATCGAAAGATGTTTCAGATTTAATTTTGCCTGTTTACCAGCATACAGACTTTTGGCCATCAAGTTACTAAGCAACTTAATAAAGATTTTCTGCCTTTACTGTGCTGTTGTTTTCTTCTGCACATCCCTGAGCTGCTTCGTGTCATTTTGATGCTCAGTTTTACAAGGCGTGTTAGATATTTCATTCCTAAGCCCCAGTATATTTTAGATCTGTCTTAAAGCTTCTGTGTACCTCTGCTGTTTCTATTGTAGCAATTCTCAGGCTCTTCCCTCTATGCTGGGAATCTTCCTAAAAAGTTACAATGTAAATGGTCACCTCTTTTAAACTGTTTCATGAGCTAGTTTGCACTGGCATGAATGACCAGGACTGCCTTACAGGTGGAGTCATTGAATCAGTAAGATCCTGGCTGTTGCCATGGCCTCGGTGCTGGACATTGTGGCTGCAGTGTACACATGGTGTACAATCTGCCTGAGGGAGAGGAGACCAAAATCTAGCATTCGCTCTGCTCTCCAAGCCGTACATGGTCATGAGAAGCTGCCTTGTCAGGAGAAAAGGGTGCTTTTCCTAAGTCATCAAAAGCACGTTACGGGCCTGCAGAGGTTCTGTTAAAGGCTTTTTTCCCTAATTGATGATAAAATAATGCTCTTAACTAGTTTACAGATGCTTACAGTTTTGACTGTACTGTTTTTATCTCTATTTGAGAATAAATTGAGAGTTCCTTTCCTAGGGAAAGTCAGTGACAGTTACTACTGTCACTAAAATATTATTTAAGCTTTGTTGTAATATTAACATTGAAATAGTTTTGCAAGTTTGTTAAATTATGAGGCTACTTATAATATTGTATTTTCTTCCCCAAAGCGCATTATTAAAAGTATCACTCCAGAAACACCAACAGAAATTCCTTGTGGGGATATCTGCTTGAATGCTGTGTAACACATTCCTGTGAGAAACGATTCCCAGCCCTCCAGCTCTGACGAATCCCACCTCACCTCCGCTCAAAGTGAATCAGTTTCCAGCCAAGCCTGATGATGAAAAGGATCTTCTTTGCGGAGACACAGTCCCAAAAGACTATGGTGCCCAGACCTACGGCTTCCAGTCACTTCCTCCCATTAAATCTCTGGGACATTATCACTATGTTAGACTATGATGCAACTGAAGTGGCCTATTTTGAACGTGTGAGGGTGTGTATGGAGGTGATGAAAACTACCCTATCATTGATTAGGATTAGGTTTAGAATCAAGTTTGTGGATGTTTCCCGTGTCATTTTTTTGGTATGACTGTTATCTGACATTTGTTTGCCTCTAAAGGCTTCACTGTTCATGAATGCATTAAACATTAGAAGAAAATGGAATGTTGTCTTGCTAGCCATATATTTTCTGAATAGCATAGATTCTACAGCTTGACTCTGCTAGAACCTTCTTACTCATGTGCTGTTGTGGACCAGGAAAGGAAGATGTAAGAAGCAAAACTGAAAAATAATGTGTACATGTAAGCATTTGTGTCTGTGTATATTGTTATGTCCCTGTATTCTTATTTTTACTCCAATACTTTGGCCTATCACAAACTATATGAGTTTCCTTTAATTTTGCTTACATTAACAAAGCCTACCTACTCAAACACGCATGTATGTTACTATTTGAAAGGTGCAATTACTACAACATGCTCGAGGTATCTTTTTAAAAAAATTTTAAAGAGAAAAAAAACAGAAAAAAGGGTAATGATAATACATAATTTCAAAAATGCTCTAGCTATCTTGATTTTCAGTGATTCTACTTTTGCTCACATCTTTCTTATGGGCCAACTCTGGCATCTGTTATACTTGTTTGCTGTCTTTCTGTCTGTCTCTCTGTTAAATGTTCAGGACAGTGCTCCACAAGCAAATCTGGCCTCTTTGGTTAGTCACCATGGGCTAGATGTGAACTCCTTTATGATGGATTTTCCTATGTACACATTCAACGTTCACCTGGCCTTCTGGATTGATCACTGATTGCTTAAAATGACTCTGACTGTGTAGGCTGCTTTGTGCAGAGAGGATAAATCCAACTTTCACTTAGCTCTAGGGTACATAGATTTGATACCCTGACTTTAACTTATAATGGTATTCTCAATTCAAGAGCAACTAGAGAGACTGGTTAGATTTAAATTGTCCCCCCCAACTCTGGCCCTTCCTGGTAGCCATGATTATATTATCCAGATGACTCTCAAGATCTTGGTAAGACTGTTCTAGAGAACAGTCAGTTATGTGAATGACCTTTCATTTGACAGAAAGCCCATGATACAGATACCGACTCTCAGGTATATGAGTAGACAAGCAAATTTTACCCTGTGCTGTGAGACTTAGCAAAACCTTAAAAGGACTAAATTCTTGTCAATGACAAAAGGACTCAATTAGCTGGCCTGATGTAACTTCAGTTCTCCATATAATTCCAATTTAATTTAATAACCTTATAAAAAGCAGGTCCATGTAGCAGAGGCCTGGATTGATCTAGTTATAGACCTTTCCTCTTTGGTTTTCTTCCCCTAACAGTCTCTGCCCTGGCATTTTCCGATATTCCCCCTGCATCCTGTTCTTTCTAATCTTTGGGGATGTTTTTGGATGCTGGTTGATGTGAAGTTTCCCAAAGTATTAGCAGAAAAAGAAAATTTAATGTTCTTTACTGATTTGTTTGTATTATCTTCATTCTTTTATTCCTTCTTGCTGCTTTATTTCCATTTTCTTTGCTTTATAGTATTCTTAGAGAGAAGATATGTAAGTGGTAGTGTACTGACTGGTAAGTAGCTTTGCGCAATTTTTTTTTGACTTTTTTTTTTTTTTTTTTTTGGCTTTTTGAGACAGGGTCTTGCTATGCAGTTCAGGCTGGCCTTGAGCTCACTTTGTAGCCCAGGCTGGTCTCGAATTCTCAATGATCCTCCTGCCTCAGCCTCCCGAGTGCTGGGATTACAGGTGTGTACCACCATAGTCTGCTAAGATTATACTGTTTTATAAACAGTTTTCAAACCTCGTTTTGCCAAGTTGGGGTGTGAAGGTTTCAAACTAAAAAAAAAAAAATATCCAAAATATCTGTTTTCCTACAAAGTTCACATTTATTTGACTCCTATATATCAGTATGGATTCGCTAAAGAAAAGTTTAAGAGGACATAGACTTTAAAATAATCTTTGGAAGATTCTTACAAATGTAACATTTACATAAAAGTAAAAACTAAAAATGGAATTGAACTGTAAAATAATTTAGGGACTTAATTTTTTCTTATGCTTTTATTAGTAATAAATGGCAAAGGAAGGGGATGTAGGGATGTTCAGTGGTAAAGTATAAGCTTAGTATGTTTAAGGCCTTGGGTCCAATGTCCAGTACCATAGAGACCCTCCCCCTGAAAAAGGATATAGACAAGATGCAAAACAAAGTCCAGTCATGGGGAAAATTCAATTATTAGAAGTTGTTTCCTCTGTTGTATACAGTGAAATCCAAGGAGTTTACCCCCTACTGTAAACCTGGCTAGAATGCAGAGCTGTAACCTAAATTCACTGCCTTGCCTCAATTGGAGATTGATTTAAAGACCCTGACAAATCCAACTTTAATACAATAGTTCCAAAATCAAATAATGGAATTATAAAATAAGGCAAAAAGTTATTCTGTGAGATGAATCTTTGTTTTGACTAAGCTTGTTAATTTGGTGCTACCAATCTCAAAACTCAAGTGTAAGCATGAAAGTCCACTTAACTCTCATCCCCTAAAAGAAAGGCTATTCTCCTGGAATTAGAATATTATTATTATTATTATTATTATTATTATTATTATTATTTGTAGTGATTCTGAGGGGTGAATCCAGGGCCTTATGCTTACAGGGTAAGAACTCTACTACTGAGCCATATCCCCAGCCCCTAGTGTTATGTCTTACAAGCTTATATATATATATATATATATACTTGATATAATTGGCTTAGAGTTCACCATCAAAGCTCATCACTATGGAATGCAGTGGTCTAACTGCCATTCTTAAATGTATCTTAGACAATGGTACAACCAGTCTAGTCTTTCTTAGCATGTCTCTTTACTTCTAACTCCATCTCTGATGTTTAAGACATTAGAATTACCTAGGATGGTTGTCTCCATCAAACACAGGGCATTCTCCTTATTCTATTTTTGTCAAGCAGAGGCAGGGAAAAGAAGCAGGTGATTCCTCAGGGAGGCTACGCAGTGGTAATGAACCCGTGGTATGTGATCTCAGTGGGCTATTTGTTATCATTGAAAGCTCTCAAAAGTTTGCCCTCTGTATGCCATAGTCTGTCATCCCTATCAGTAACGTAATAAAAGAGTCCTACGCTAAGTGGGAAAAAGTTGTATAAGATCATGGAATTCACACTTCATATTTTAAAATACAACAGTTACTGAAAGGGCTCTAACCAGGAAGGTGAACTTAGAAAGTGCTTTCTGGGGGCTGGAGATTTAACTCAGTGGTATAAGCGCCTGCCTTGCAAGCGGGCAGTGGTGAGTTCGATCCCCGGTACCGATAAAAAGGAAAAAGACAAAAATAAAAAAAGAAAGTGCTTTCTTGGGGAACATGTTAAGGAATGAAATTCATAAATACAAATATGAAAAAAAAAGGATCAAGACAGGAAATGTTACCATACGAGAAAAGCAGGAAGTTCTCATCTATTAGAAACACTGTGGTTTCTGAATTATTTTTCAAAATGAAAATGAATTAATGATATTTAATGAAATTTACCATGTTTAATTCCATGGAAATAATATTTCAAAGCTCTCACCATTTTTATTTTTTGCTACTTTCTATAGTATCACTTTTTTCTTGCTACTGTCTTATAGTATCACCCTTTTCTTACACTGCATTTTCTCTAAATTTAAACGATACAAGAAAGATAATTTAAATGATACAACAAAAGCTCAGATGACTTCTTTAGAGACAAGAAAAACTTGATCAAATTAATCTGTCTGTTCTTCCTGCAGTATGGAAGTTTCTAAAGAAAGGTAAACATAAATTTTATTTCATCTACTAGAATGAAATAATACACCTCAACGCGTTTAACAGATAGGACATAGAAATATAAGACATACAAAAGATATTTTAGGATAAAATCTGAAGCATTTGCCCTTTTGTTTCATGTAGTTACAATGAGTTCAGTATTGTTTCTATATTAGATGTTTTGAATCTATTTTAGATTTTTTTTTTTGTACCAGGGATTGAATTCACGATCGCATGCTTGCGAGGCAGGCGCTTATGCCACTGAGCTAAATCCTCAGCCCATATTAAATTTTTAAAAAAGCTTCACTTTTGTAACACAAAGTCTCTTTGATTAGAAGTGATTCACAATAGGTATCAACTGGAATGCTAGGTGATAGTTTTAGCAATGCATTTAAAATTTGAGCCAAGCTGGTCTACCAATTCCAGTTTGTTTATGTGTGTGTATGTGAGATTTTGCTTTGTTTTGATTTTGGGGATGCTAGAGATGTAACGCAAGGTTTCATTAAGCAAGCGCTCTCTACCACTGAGCCACATCCCTAGCCCAATGCTACTATTTTTAAAAAAGCATCAAAATAGATTTCATTGGCTGGGGATTTAGCTCAGTGGCTTAAGCGCCTGTCTGAAGTGTGAGGTTGTGAGTTTGATCCCTGGTACAAGAAAGAAAAACTTTATTCCCTGGCCAATCCTCAAGTGGAGATAGTGTATTGATGAAGTACAGGAGCCTTGTCATTTGGGGAAGAAAATTTGCCCTGTGATTCTAGAGTTGAAGTCTAAAGTAGAGATAGTAATTTACTTCTAGCAACTTACAAACGCTAATGTGGGACCAGGGATACTCCATCTTTACACTAAAATCTTATAGACATGTAAAAGCATTTGCCGTTTTTTAAAAAAGATATTTTGAATTCATACTCTAAAATTAAAGGTATACCTTAATAGGTGAAAAATGCATATTTTAAAAAGATAAAATTAGGGATTCAAGAGTCTGCAAGTTATTTTTCAAGTGGCATTTAAAATATGATTTAAGGGGTTGGGGATTTAGCTCGGCGGCATAAGCACCTGCCTTGCAAGCAGGAGGTCATGAGTTTGATCCCTGGTACCGATAAAAATGAAAAAGACAAAAAAAAAATATGATTTAAGCTGAACATGGTGATGCATACCTATAATCTCAGCACCCAGGAAGCTTAGGCAGGAGGATCACTGTGAGTTCGAGGCCACCCTGGGTTATCTAAGTGAATTTAAGGGCAGTCTGCACTGCACAGCAACGCCCTATCTCAAAAAGTAAAAGTCCTAACCATACAATATCATTTTATATAGAAAAATTTTTCAGGATTTTTTTCTGGCAGCGCTAGGGATTTAGATCCAGGGGCTGTA